TTTATCAGCTGTTTGGACTCTCATTCTGACGGCACCCATTCACATCCATTGGTGAGCAAGTGATGCAATGCCATTAAAATTGGACTTGCCACAAAACTCACCACATGCACCACCTCAGGATAGATGGGCTCGGTGATGACGCTCCTGTTGTGAGTGAGGTACTCCACCATCTCGAATTTCATCATAGAAATATCAGCATCTGCACCAAATTCATATTTTTGCTCAGTTTGAGTCTCTGAATAAAACTGAGCTCCATATTCTCACTGTATCAGACTATATGAGCTATAAATATGACATATGTGACCCTGGAGCACAAAAGCAGTCTTAAGTCGCTGGGGTATATTTGTAGCAATAACCAACAATACATTGTATGGGTCAAAATTATTGATTTTTCTTTTATGCCAAAAATCATTAGGATATTAAGTAAAGATCATGTTCCATGAAGATATTTTGTAAATTTCCTACCGTAAATATATCAAAACTTAATTTTTGATTAGTAATATGCATTGCTAAGAACTTCATTTGGACAACTTTAAAGATGATTCTCACAATATTTAGATTTTTTTGCACCCTCAGATTGCAGATTTTCAAATAGTTGTATCTCAGCCAAATATTGTCCGATCCTAACAAACCATACATCAATGGAAAGATTATTTATTCAGCTTTCAGATGATGCATAAATCTCAATTTCACAAAATTGAGGGTCCAGGGTCACATGTGCATATTGAATATTTTGTAATATTTTGTCTTTTTTCTTTTAAAAATCAGACTATTATTTCACATGTCAGGCTTTACAGGGTTACAGTGATGCTGCAGCTGCAGGGTTTTTCCTGAATTGATGTCAGGCAAACTCACAGTATATTTTGGGCTTTACTGAATGTTTAGATCACACGGTTTCCTTTAAAGCTGCACATGACCGGCAAAACAGTTTAAAAGCGTTGTTTTATTTCGGCACAGAGACATACAGATGAGTAGGCGGCTCTTCAATGTTATCTGGGATGCATCAGTGTTTGAAAACAGCAGAGCAACCAGAGATCTCAGAGTCAACAACGAATACGTTTGACCACAACTGATTACGTGAAGGTCAGTTCAATTTATAAACGACTCAATTTGATTCAAAAGAAGATGATTCAGTCTGCAGTTCACTAAAGGTTTGAGTGTGCATTTGAACTGTATTATCAAATCGCACGACCCTCATCAACACGTCACGTTCTGCATGCACACTATACGTGCAGCATGCAAATATTCAGTGTGCATTAAATACTGCATCCCATAATGTAATGCAGTCGGCTTCAACTTAGTTATGACTTAGTCATATCAGCTGTGATTCTGAATCATTATAATAACCATGCTTATCTGAGACAATTACAGGACGGCACTTATTGAATTAAATGTGAATGCATCTAAAGTTCATCAAAATATTATATTATAATACTAGTTTACTAGGTTTAAAAAAAAAACACTAGGCTGTGTGGAGAATATATCTGTGTAGTGAAGCAATATGCATTGATAAATGTTTCTTATCACACTATATGCAAGTGGCATCCAGTTATTTAGGACATTAAATGGTTAGCTATTTTGTCTAAAATCATTTAAACTTTTTGCAGTCTGATCGAATAAGTAAAAAAAAGATGTAAAATGAGGGCTGTAAATACACTGCCGTATGTTTGGAATATTTAAGTCTCTTATTTTCACCAAGGCTGCATTTATTTGATCGAAAATACAGTGAAAAATTTGAAATATTATTAGAATTTAAAATAACTGTTTTCTGTGTGAATATATTATAAACTGTAATTTATTCCTGTGATCAAAGCTGAATTTTCAGCATCATTACTCCAGTCTTCAGTGTCACATGATCTTCAGAAATCATTCTAATATGCTGATCTGCTGCTTGAGAAACATTTATTTCACAGGAATAAATTACAGTTTAACAGATATTCACATAGAGAACAGCTGTTTTAAATTATAATAATATTTCACAATTTTTACTGCATTTTTTATCAAAATAAATGCAGCCTTTGTGAGCCGAAAAGAGACTTCTTTCAAAAACAAACATTTAAAAATCATAATTATTCCAAACTTCTAAGCAGTATTGCACATCCATCATCCTGGAAATCAAAGACTGAGTGCATTGCATTGTATGATACAGTATCTTCCACAGTGTGCGCTGTGGTATAACGTCATCACTAGTCATCTAGTTATTCCATGCATACTTGCATAATGTTCAAAGCATGCATGCAGAAGTAAAATATCAAATCATATGTCTCATCTCAAAGTTGTTTAAAATGCACATTTAAAACATTGCAAAGCATGCAACAAATGCATCATTAATGCATGAATGATTACAATCATCTGTCTGCGTGTGAGGTGAAGAAAACAAAGCAGAAAGAACCGGCTGTCAGGATGCAGTCTCTCGCAAGCTCTGTGGCTTGAGCACACATGCATGCATTCTTCCTGAAGCTGTGACCTCACTTCCCCTCACATCAGTGCTCTGGTAAGGGGGGATGGGAGGCTAGTTAAACAGACCCCCTCCTACTTAACCAGCGCATCGTAAACAGAGTTTTCCACATTCACCCGAGCAACATGCAGGCTGCGTTTTGAGCTGTGTCAAGATTTATGCATGTAGTGCAAACCCAAATGCATGGCCAGAAAATGCTTAAAATGCAGTCTGCAAAGCGTGAATCTAAAAAAAGAGGTTTGTATCTATTCTAGTGTCTCCCAAACGCCACACATTCTTCTGCCTGCGTAACGGCGGCCACAAATCATGGCATAGCAACCTCCCTCGTCGCTCTCTGCCTACACAGACACAATAAAACAAACGTCTCACCTCTAAAGTGCATGAGGGCCACCGGCTGAAAGGGCCCGTTGGCACTCGGAGCATCCAGAACCATCCTGGCCTCCTCTTTAGAGCATGTCAACATCTATGGGTCGGATCGGGCACGAGGCGGCTAGCTCGAGCTGTTAGCCTCCATTTCAGCAGCACAAACACTCTCAGCAGAAAATGAAGCTCCGCTGCTGGAGGGAAGCAGCTAAGTTAGTGATGTCACTCATCAGAGGGAGGCCGCCGATTGGCCGGAGGAGATCACGTGATCTCAAGCAGCAGAGGGCTGGCTGGGGAGGCTGCTGATTGGCTGGCGGGGGCCGGGGAAGGCGGAGCTGTGGGTTTGATTGGCGCATGCAGGCCACATGAAGATTACGGGATTCGTCACAGTGCAAGCGGACGCTAAAGCAGTGCTGCTGAAAACTAAAGACCATAAATAACAGACATGCACATGGTTGGTGCACTTTATTGTGCCTTAAAATTGTAAGAAAAGTGTGTGCTAAAAATGTAAACACAAGCAGATGTAAGACACAATCTGTATTAGTTGTTCACAAATTCCCTTTGAATCTTTCCATTTTTAATGCCTGAATTACAATTGCATTTAACAATTTAGTCATTTATTTTTACATTTTAACAACATTAGTGACCTGTGAAATGTGCATTCATTTTTCAGATGCATTTTTAATGGTTGAATTAAATTTAAATAATTATAATTAAAAAAAATGTCTAATCACCTGAATGTATAACACATTAACAATTTAATAATTTATTAAAATTTCAACAATAATTAATAGTTCCCTATGAAATGTGTTTTATTTTTCCCAAATTCTGTGTTTTCCGTTTTTAATGGCTGAATTAAATTAAAATTTTCAAAAATGATGCATAATTTGGGGTGCGTGATATGACGATTTTTGATCGTGGGTGATTAAAATGTCTCCACGATCTGCTTTTGAAGGAATATGGTAGTATCGCGCTACAAATGTTACTCAGCGGTAGAGTCACACTCACAGGACACTACACTTATTCACAACCACAAAAGTACTATATTTGCATGTGCTTTAAAGCCTTGCTAGATAAACATTTAATTTGCGTGCTGTTCTGACATGTGCTTTTTCTGAGCGCGTACACACTAAACATCCTGACAAACAGCAGCTGATTACTGGACTCTTTCACGTCTGATTGCACTAATGCTGTCAAAAACACACAAGGCTTACATATAAACACAGTTGGTTATGTCTAAAGTGAAAGTAAACAGCTGAGAGAGAAACGGATGCATACCTGTATGTTAGATGAGTGTAGGTCTTAAAGTGACAGCAGTCTAATAGTTCTAAACATGCTGCTGCTTGTCATTAATGTTATAAAACAACTAAACACAAAGTGATTGAAGAACATTAATACAGTTGCTTTAATAAGAATCAGTTATGTGTGTTTGTAGCGTGTATGTTTGTTGTTATTTTTTAATAACAAAGATAAAATAACGACAAAGATTTTTATCTTTGCCCACTTTGGCCTAAATGTCTGCCATTCTTTTTTATTTTATATTTTGTCACCTTGTAAGCCTTTGTTTTGTAAAATAGGGAAATTACTGCTCAGACAACTTAGAGAAAATAGTAAAATCAACATGACAAAGAATTGTGATCAAATCGTGAATCGTGATTTTCCTGGAAAAAAAAAAGTGATATTTTTACGATATCGCCCAATCCTATGCCTAATCAACTGAATTCATAAACAAATAAACATTTAATAATTTATTAACATTTTAAAATAATATGAATTGCGTTTTTTTCCCTCAAATTCTTTTACATTTACAATTTTCTAGAATCAAATTTTAATGGCTGAATTAAATTTTAACAATTCAAAAGGATGCCTAATCAACTGAATTCATAACACTTTTAATATTTTATTCAAACAATAATAGTGACATATGACATGTGTTTTATTTTTTCCAAATTCTGTTTTTTTTCATATTAAAGATTCAGATTACATTTTTTATGCCCGAATTAAATTTCCAAAAATTAAAAAATAATGCCTAATCAATTTGTTTAATAAAACTTTAACAATTTAATAATTTATTAAAAATCAAACAATATTTTTATATATTTAACAACATTTTGTGTTGTCTTTTAATTTTTATGGAATCTGTTTTATGATTTTATACAAATTTAGCATCGAAAACGGTAGTAACCAAATAAATGCATACAATGAAAAACCCAAGCAACCACTCATAACAACTTAGCAACCACTTACTATCACCGTAGAAACAACCCGCACTGACCTAGCAACCGCATAGCAACACACTAAACACCACTCTGGAGACCCGGCACCCATTCACAAAAGCCTCTTACATCACATTCTTATGCATCATCATACTCTGGTGTTCTGGAAAAAAAACCTGCAGCTGCTCTGAGACGCTCTTCTGACCAACACAGACCATCAGGACCATCCACAAACCAGCACTTACACATATCTTACACTAAAAACACATATGAATATATTACTTATACAGCAGATTATACATGTTATTTATATATAAAATGTATATTATTACTACATATTTACAAACAGCATTTATATATTATATTATATTACTGGTATACTGCAATAATCTATATTTTATACTATATATGAGCACTTTTATGGCTAAATATCTCTGTCTTACTCTTATTAAATAATATGTATTCTTTAATTAATATGATTAAATACTCATTCATTAATAATTATTTTAATAAATTATATTGATGTTTATTTAATCTCAGAAATAGTTTACTGTAATATGTATACTGCCTAAAAAAGCATATAATTTTCTATATATGTATGTATATACATATATAATTTATGATATATATTATAAATATTATATTTTATTATATATATATAATTTAATTCATAATGATTGTTAAATAACAATTTATTAACAATTCATTTGTTATAATATATTTGTTATTATATACGATATATATATATATATATATATTATTTAATGCTGATTGTTAAATAATTAACAATTTATTTGTTATGATATATATGTCTGTGTGTATTACATAAAATATAATATATATTATTATATATATTATTTTATTATCAACAATTACTAGCATCATATAAATCTCAACTGTCAATAACGGACGCATTCAGCGGTTGCCATGGAGATCGTTTATCCTGCAGACATTAAAGGAGACAAAAGAAAAGCATTTAAACAGACACTGTTACATGAACACCCCGAATCTCTTTATGTTGACATGACATCTCAAGAAAAGAGGACAAACTTGATCTTCTATACAGAGAGGAACCTCATATGGAAAAGTGTTATTAGTAAATATTTCCACTACACTAAGAAGAAGCTCGGAAATAAATACATTAGTCTACTGCACTGTAAGTGGTAAATAAATGACGTGTGCGTGTATTTGTGCGTGTTAATATATATATTTTTATGGGTAACAGTGAGGCGTGAGCTCAGTTTGACTCGTGAGGATCGTTAACTGGCTTTAATTAGGTCAGATGTGAGAAAAGAAACTTCTGAAGGGGAAGATAATGTAATATATGAAATGATTACACACACAGCATCGGTTTCTCGTGAAAGCAGCTTCTTCACAACATCAGCTGCTCATATTTACATTGAGCTTGCACTGGATATTACTTCAAAAACATTAGCGTTATTAAAGGATTAATTCAGCCAAAAATGAACATTCTGTCATCATGCCGTTTCTTCCAATGAACACTAAAGGTCTGACTGTTTTCTATATGATCTACGATGAACAGTGACTGATGTTCTCAAGCGTCGTCAAGCACACAAAGCAGAATATCACACATGCACAGATCAAATTGCTCATGATGTTCCTCATTCTGGAGATGCTTTGGATAAAAACGTCTGCTAAGTGAAGAAATGTCAATGTGCAAATGTATCACATATATATGTGAATAGCATCAAGCGATCCTAATGCTGGTTTAGTTTGAGTCACATTTAGCCATTTGTTTCTCCAAATAAACCAAAATCTAGTGTGATCCAATGGTTCATGTAGAATAAGAAAAAGGACAAAAATATTTAAATAAATAGCTATAACTATATACATATATATATATAGAGAGAGAGAGAGAGAGAGATGGTTGAACACACACACACACACACACACACACACACGTTTGTTTAGCTATCTAAATGGGGACATTACATAGACTTCGATTGTTTTTATATACAGATAGTTATACACTTTTTAACCTAAACCCACCCCTAACCCTACACCTCACAGAAAACTTTCTGCATTTTTACAATTTCAAAAGTAAAAAAAAAATCTGTTTACTTTATTTTAACAGTTTTGCAAATGAGGACATCCACATTAAAAGCTGAATAATTCTAAATGAGCTCTGTTATTTTGACAGGAAAATAGAACAAAGGATATGGTTTACATGTAGCGCGTCGAGTCAGCGTGGTATGCAAGACTCTCGCTCTCTCTCTTTGCATGTGTGAGAAACACAGCGCTATCAGTAAAGCGACGGCGAGTCGTGCGCCTTCACACTAGTTTACGGTGCGTCAAATACAGGTGCGCTGCGTGCTACATACTGCGCATCCGTTGAGTACATGACATGATCCATTGAGCGCATCCAAATAGTACAGATCGCTTGACGGAGAGCGGATCTCTCAAGCGCTCAGTGAAATCTGTGTTGAACGTGTAAAATCTTAGAATTTATTAGCCAATGGCTAATGTTAGACATTATTTAGTCGGCCAGAGTAAGATTTAGTCGCATATGCGAGTGATTTACTCGCAATGTAGAGGGTTGGCGGGCCTACATTACATGCACCAATAATATTGCAGAACACTTTTCATGATCCAATCAAATATTCCAATTCAGTGGTACACATTCCGGAGGTGAAGTGCGCCTCACCTTTAAACGCAGGCAGCTTCTGGAGCTCTCGATTGTTGCTCAGACTGAATCGAGACGAGCTCGGACGCTTCTCCTTCTTCAGCGGAGCCTGAGATCCGGACGCTTTGCCCTTCAGCAGCTGTGTGGCGGGTGGGACGCTGTTAGCGCCCTTCTTATTCGGGCCCTGATGGAGAAAAACCCTTCACAGCCTCATCTCTCCAGAACAGAGCAGAACACAAGAGATGACAAGCTACAAGAACCATTCGATGCTTATTCATTTGTGCTGCTCAGAAACAACAGAGCGAACATCAACAGTGGCAGCAGATCGGGTCTGTGACCATTCAGCTTCAAATATCCTTAACTTTTAAAGATGCAATTGCATTTTTATATTTTTGTTTTATACATACATTACCGTTCAGAAGTTTGGGATCAGTAAGACTTGTAATGCTTTTAAAGAAGTCTCTTCTGCTCATCAAGGCTACATTTATTTGATCAAAAATTGTGAAATATTTTTACAATTTCAAATAACTGCTTTCTATGTGAATCAATGTTAAAATGTAATTTATTCCTGTGATTTTCAGCATCATTACTCCAGTATAAAGTGTCACATGATCTTCAGAAATCATTCTAATATGCTGATTTATTATTAGAATTATCAACAGTTGTGCTGCCAAATATTATTTTGGGAAACTGATACTTTTTTCAGGATTCTTTGATGAATAAAAAGTTGAAATATAAATCTTTGCTATCACTTCTTAACAATGTAACACATCCTCGCTTAATAAAAGTTTTAATTTCTTTCAAAGAAAGAAAGAATAAAAATGTACCGACCACAAACTTTTGAGCTGTAGTGTATATTGTTAGAAAATATTTATATTTTAAATAAACGCTCTTCTTTTTAATTTTTTATTCATCAAAGAATCCTGAAAAAAGTATCACAGCTTCCAAAAAAATATGAAGCAGCAACAGTTTCCAGCTCTGATAATAAATCAGCATATTA